AAGTTTTATGTGGCTTCTACGGGCTTCTAGCAAGAACTGTTCTTACCTATGCATCAAAACCACAACGATTTTTTGTCAAGTGTGATGTTTTAACCTTCAACAAGGACCGGCCGTAGTCAAACTCGATTCAACTAAAGTTGGAGAAACAGACACCCACCAGCCACCTGTGTGCAAAAGCACGTCGGTAGAACCAGTCTCAGGAACGCGGTCATGTAATGTCAGTTCGAGCCGCTTCATCCAACAATACCGTCGAATCAAAGTAAGACGTTGGTGGTAAGCAGTATGAATATTATCACCCACAACTCTTTGTGTTCTACTCGTGCATAAAACATCTACGCATAGACCTGGCTATGATACCACTGTTGAGGAACGTAGTAATTTCAAAATTTTCCTACGATCATGCAAGATCTATCTACGAGATGCATAGTGATGAGGCGAGAGAGTGTGTCAACGTACCCTCATAGACCGAAAGCGGAAGCGTTTAGTAACGCGGTTGATGTAGTCGAACGTCTTCGCGATCCAACCGATCCAAGTACCGAACGTACGGCACTTCTGCGTTCAGCACACATTCAGCTCGATGACGTCCCTCGTGCTCTTGATCCAGTTGAGGACGAGGATGAGTTCCGTCAGCACGACAGTGTGGCGACGGTGATGATGATGATGTTACCGGCGCAGGGCTTCGCCTAAGCACTATGACGATATGATCGATGTGTGTAACTGTGGAGGGGGGCACCGCACACGGCTAAGGCAAAACTTGGTGTGCTCTAGGGTGCCCCCTGCCCCCGTATATAAAGGAGGGAGGGGGTTGGCCGGCCTATGCTAGGCGCGCCGGGAGAGGGGAATCCTACTAGGACTCCAAGTCCTAGTAGGTTTCCACCTAAAGGAGAAGGGGGAAGGAAGGGAGAGGGGGTCGCGCCCCCAATCCCTTGTCCAATTCGGACTGGACGCTGCCTCCCTTTCCCACTAAGGCTCACTAAGGCCCATCAACTCCCCGGGGGGTTCCGGTAACCTCTCGGTACTCCGGAAAATACCCAAACTTCTCCCGAACCATTCCAATGTCCGAATATAGCCTTCCATTATATCAATATTTATGTATCGATCATTTGGAGACTCCTCGTCACGTCCACGATCTCATCTGGGACTCCGAAAAAACTTCGGTCATCAAAACACATAACTCATAATACAAATCGTCATCGAACGTTAAGCATGCGGACCTTATGGGTTCGAGAACTATGTAGACATGACCGAGACACATCTCCGATCAATAACCAATAGCGGAACCTGGATGCTCATATTGGCTCCTACATATTCTACGAAGATCTTTATCGGTTAAACCGCATAACAACATACGTTGTTCCCTTTGTTATCGGTATGTTACTTGCCCGAGATTCGATCGTCGGTATCATCATACCTAGTTCAATCTCGTTACCGGCAAGTCTCTTTACTCGTTCCGTAATACTTCATCCCGCAACTAACTCATTAGTCACATTGCTTGCAAGGCTTATAGTGATGAGCATTAGCGAGAGGGCCCAGAGATACCTCTCTGAAACACGGTGTGGCAAATCCTAATCTTGATCTATGCCAACCCAACAAACAACTTCGGAGACACCTGTAGAGCATCTTTATAATCACCCAGTTACGTTGTGACGTTTGATAGCACACAAGGTGTTCCTCCGGTATTCGGGAGTTGCATAATCTCATAGTCTGAGGAACATGTATAAGTCATGAAGAAAGCAGTAGCAATGAAACTATAACGATCATAATGCTAAGCTAACGGATGGGTCTTGTCCATCAAATCATTCTCCTAATGATGTGATCCCGATCATCAAATGACAACACATGTCTATGGTTAGGAAACATAACCATCTTTGATTAACGAGCTAGTCTGGTAGAGGCATACTAGGGACACTATGTTTTGTCTATGTATTCACACATGTACTAAGTAATACAATTCTAGCATGAATAATAAACATTTATCATGATATAAGGAAATAAATAATAACTTTATTATTGCCTCTAGGGCATATTTCCTTCAGTAACCTCAAAGGTAAAAATTCAATTCATCACAACAAGATAGAGAGGGAGAAACACCATATAATCCAACCATATTAACAAAGCTCGCAGTACATCAAGATCATGCTAAATCAAGAACACGAGAGAGAGAGAGAGATCAAACACATAGCTACTTTTACATACCCTCAGCCCCGAGGGTGAACTACTCCATCCTCGTCATGGAGACCGCCGGGATGATGAAGATGGCCTCCGGTGTTGATTTCCCCCTTCGGCAGGGTGTCGAAATAGGGCTCCAGATGGTACTTCGAAGGTACAGAGGCTTGCGGCGGCAGAGCCGAAGTTCTTGGGTTATTTCTAGGGGGTTTCTCTATTTATAGAATTCTTTGGTGTCGGTCTCATGTCAAGATGGGCTAAGATGGGCCCACGAGGCACCACGGCACCACCACCCCCTGGGCGCGCCCTAGTGCCTCATGGGCACCTCATGGCTCTTCTGGTCCTCCCACGAAGCTTTGGGGGTCTCTTTTGTTTCAAAAATATCATCAAAAAGTTTTAGCCTATTCTGAGAACTTTTATTTCTGCACAAAAAATAACACCACGGTAGTTCTGCTGAAAACAGCGTCAGTCCGGATTAGTTCCATTCAAATCATACCAAAATCATATAAAATTGTTGTAAACATGACATGAATACTTCATAAATTATAGATACGTTGGAGCCACATTAGGACCTAATGTATATTAAGTTTATAGTGGAAAAGATAGCAAAAATACACCTTGGGACACGGGTGCAGATGTACCCGAATTGCAAGAAAGAAATAAAAATAGTAAAAATGATCAAATATTTGTGAAACTTTTTCGGAATAAGCATTGTCTAGTGTATTACTCATGTGTAAAGTTTTGCAACAGTGACTTTTGTGGTACTCTGAACGAATAAAAACAAAACTGATACTAAATTAAGCTTATTGTTCACACATTTTGTAGTTGCGGTTTTATCTTTATTTTTTAACAATATCACAGAAGTCATTTTGTCCCCTTTAAACGTAAGTGCTATGCTATACTATATTTGTCGCAAAACAGTTTCACATTTTTTGACATTTTTACTCTCTTTTTTAATCGGGTGCGTATAGACTCAGTTCCAAAAATCCGCACCGCAAAGATAGGTATGAGGACCCGATTAATATTTACTTATTTACAAATCGTATCCAGCTAGTAATATTTTAGAGCATCAAATTTTATTGATAGGTTAGGAATTTAGTCTTCACATGGGCAACCCTCAAATATATGGCGACACTTCTTTGGGTCAATCTTCCTAGCTCCGATCCTTCTTAATTTTGACCGTCCAAACAGACTAGATGAAGCTCCGAAATAGAATCCTGCCAGCTCCTCAAGGCAGCAAGATTAGGCTTTCTTGTTATTAGTATGCTACAACAAGATTTGGAGCCAGGTTCTTCTGATCGATTTAAAGGTGCAACAGCCACGCCAGAGGCTTCAAGGTGTTGGTCCTTAGATACACATGCATAAAAACTTCTTGGCTGTCATCAACGGGTCAGCCCGGCTCTGATATGGGGACAACAACAATGCCCAGGCGGCTCATTGTGCCGACAACAATGGTCAATGGTCCAAGAACCTCGATAAATTTTATTATGTTTTGAACTTTTATACTCTCTCCAATCCATATTAATTGTTGTACTAAATCAGCTACAATTAATAACATGGATCAAATAGAGTAATACATTTGAGTCCTTTTCAAAGAAAAGAAAAACCTCAGCACCAAACTAATAACAATATGGGTAACATCACACATATGAAAACAAAATAAGTCTACAAACTAATAAATAAATTATTGCATGACACCACAACTGTGTTACTCTCGATTGTAACATAGACTAGTAACATATGCATGTTATTAGTCTAAGTAACTCCTCACTATGGTAGTCTGAATCTAAGCACTCACAGCCGTCCTATAATAGGAGTAAATAGTACGCAAACCAAGCTTGCAGAACAGCCTGCACCTTAGGAAATAGTATATCCAAGAAAAAAAAGGGGAATTTATCTCCACTCTTTCTGAATTGTCAACAATACATGCAACATAAGTTTGCATCTTCGAAACAAGTCTACCACCACATGCTAGCATACAACATTTATAAGGTGTATCATAACAGCATATCAGTGATCAAACCAAGCATAGCCGCTGTGCCTTCCTTGTGGGTATCAAACCAAGCAGACACCTTCAAATCTACTCCCTCCGTCCGGAAAAGCTTGTCTCTCAAATGAATGTATCTAGCATCAAGTTAGTGCTAGATACATTCATTTGAGAGAGAAGCTTGGGACAAGCCTTTTCGGACGGAGGGAGTACAAGGTTTTCAACAGTTCACCAGGGTCGATTTCATGGAAGAGAGGAAACATAAGGGGAAGACGAGAGGCGGAGACCATGAAGTGAAACCAAAACTTTCCACTGTGTTCCTTTTCAGCTCTGCCATAGCCTGTCTGCCTGTGTCAGATTCTGCCACCGAGTGTTCGACCCTACCCCATAACACTTTGCCAAGCTCCATCGCAGTCCGCGTCACGCCTCCCCTGCATCTCAAATCTAAATCCAATTCCTGCCACAGCAAAGACTAGGCAAGTCCTCTGAGTCTGGGTTCTAAGGCTCATGGGGACATTGCTACTGCAGAGAGGGACATTGGGCAACACATGCTGCTGCTTGTTGTCCTGAGAGCTGAGATGTACATCTTCCACAAACATGCTTTTCAGGGGTTCTAAGGTCTAATCAGCAGCACACTAGCTACAAAGGTGAGCCGTACAAAACAAACAATGAGTCACCATAGAGTACCAGTAACCAATAGCTGGAACATCATGAGCCCTCAGCTGAAAACACCAGTATGTCAGTCACCATATTATCAAACATCCAGTGACTTATTCAGTAGTGAGCAAGTCAGCAACTACCAGAAACACAAATCATAGTCTGACTACAAGAATTCAAAATATGCATTTCATGGTCGAGTTGAGCCAGCAGAAAGCGAGCCATCTCTTAAATGCACTAGGCACAGTTGCAGTTGCTTTTGGACCATTTCAGCAACCATTTGCAGCCTTCCTCGGCTTGTCTCTCCACCTGCTGGCGATCCATTCACCGTCTTCACTGCTTTAACAACACTCTGCTCACACCTCTCCCAATCCTCGTGTTGCAACCAGCAAGACCAACCACCATGGCTGCCATCCATTGCAAGGTATGCGATATGACTAGTATCCCCAAAGGTGTACCTTAATCTCAGAGAAACACAAAATGGTAACCAAGCAGCTCCACCAGATGTCCTCGCATGTGGTGTAAGATTATGGTCAAGCACAAAAGTGAGGGTAAAATCTACTGAATTGTTGGCTCGGTCATGCTGAATATTACTCTTGGATAATAAAGAAGGTTCAGTATAATCATCTGAAACTGATCTTGGATGCTTTTCCAAACAAAGTTCAGCCCGTGCCCGCTCTGCAGCAGCAATGTCCCCATGAGCCTCGGACAAGCTTTTATTCCATGTAATTAGTTTTACAAATTCTTGTATAACTGAAATGGGCAGAGTAAGCAACATGATAAAAGAAGCAATCCTAGAAGCATCATAAGGTTCACAGACAACACATCTGCTGAAGTAATCGCATATCTCATGTATCTCAAATGGTGTTAGCTCTCCCTGAGCACTGCTCTGAGGAGCTTGCTGTTGCTGTTGCTGTTGCTGGTGGTGAAACCTCTTCACATTAAGAACTTGAAGGTGCAATTGAACTCGCTGAACACTAACTGCAAAGACATAACCACTGCAAGTAAAACGAGTCAGAATACATTCAGATACAGTATTCCTTCAGGAATCTACATCGATGTTGGTGCATATTGACTGATGTGATAATAAACTAATATAAAATAGATTACGATGAATGCGATTTTGACCCTTGGTATATCCCAGCACTTCTTTTTTCGAGAAAACGCAAGACCTTTGCGTTTCATTTCATTGAAAAGGTGGGGTGTACAAGTACAATCCTCCTAGGAGGCTGGAATTACATAGCAGGCGCTAGGATCAGTGGACATCCCATGACTGTGGCAGAGACGACCCTGAGTCCTTGGGCCCCTGCTGTGGCCCAGCAGCTGATCTCTGCCTTGATCTTGTCCAGGATCTGTTCAGGAGATGGTCTCGCTTGCTCAAAGACACAATCATTTCTGTGCTTCCAGAGCATCCACGGCACTAGTAGGGCAACGGACTGCAGGGCTTTGCGCAATCCTGGTGGCGTGGCCTCCTTCCCGCGCAGCCACCAGTCCATGAGGTTGGCCTCGTGCTCCGGGACAGGGGCCGGGATGCGCAGCCATGTCAGGGTTGCGTGCCATGTCTGACGGGCAAAGGGGCACGCGAGCAGCAGGTGCTGGATCGTCTCGGGCGCTTGATCGCAAAGGAGGCAGCGGGGGTGGTGTTGTAGCCCTCGACGAGCAAGCCTGTCTGCGGTCCAACACCGGTCTTGGTTAGCCAACCAGTGAAAAAATTTCACCCGCGGTGGCGCCCAGCTCTTCCAAATGAGCTTCCAGGAGTGGCAGGCAGTCGATCCCTGGAAAGTGGCCAAGTAGCATGATTGCGTGGAGTAAGTCCCGTTTGCAGACCATTTCCAGCGCAGCTTGTCCGGCTCGCTGGAGAGTGTAGTGCGCATCACATCCTGCCACGGCAGCAGGTATTGCCCGATCTTGTGGACCCCAAGGGTGCCATGAATGTCGCGCGCCCACGCGCTCCCGGCGAGGCCGGCAGCCACAGTTGTCGACTTGCGGCGTCGCTTGGGGATACACTCATAGAGCAGGGGCGCGATCTCTCGGACGGATTGCCTGTGCAGCCATCGGTCCTCCCAGAAAAGGGCAGTCGAGCCGTCTCCAAGCACCATGGATGTGGACGCGAAGAAAAGGGCTCGCTCATCGGCGGTGAACTGCAGGTCTAGACCCTGCCACATGCGCTCGCTGTCCGTGCGGGCAAACCAGAGCCAGCGCAAGCGCAGCGCCAAGAAGGCGCGCTCCATGTCGCAAACTCCAAGTCCGCCATATTCGACCGGACGGCAAACATGTCGCCAGTTGACGTGGCAGTGCCCCCCGTTTGCAGCCACGCGTCCTGCCCAGAGAAACCCTTGCTGGATCCTTTGGATTTGTCGTAGGGTTTTCTTTGGGGGCGCTAGTGCCAGCATTTGATGGATGGGGATGGCACTTAGCACTGATCTCACCATGGCCAGCCGCCCGGCTCTATTCATCAGCCACGCCTTCCACGCTGGAAGCTGCCCAGCCACCGAGTCGACGAGGGGTTGCAACATGGCAACAGAGGGACGGCGCGTCGTCAGCGGGATGCCGAGATATTTGATAGGAAGGTTCGCAACCGGGCATCCCAGCTGCTCTATCATTGTGGTCTCATCGGTGCCATGAAGGACCGTGGCCGAACTTTTGGCATAGTTCACCTGTAGGCCAGAGGCCATGCCGAACAGGTGGAGTATCCCTTTGACTGCGTCGACATCCCCGGGTGTGGCGTTGCAAAATAGCATCACGTCGTCGGCGTGGAGTGAGATCGCCGGGATGTCGCGCCGAGGGTGCAGCTGTTGCATGATGCCTTCCTGGAGGGCACGCCGCATGAGGCGACCGAGGGTGTCGACGGCGAGCACGAAGAGCTGCGGTGATATAGGGTCTCCTTGGCGCAGTCCACAACGGTGCCAGATCGGCGGGCCGGGTTCCCCGTTGGGCATGACACGAGTGCTGGCCGTGGACAGGAGGATTGCGATTCACTCCCTGAAGCGATCGCCAAATCCGTACTGGCGCAAAACCTCGAAGAGGAAGGGCCAGTATGTTAGTACCTCAAATCTACACCTAACATGTACTTAATCCTACCATTTTGATCTACAACCTAACATGAAAAAAAAGGGCAGCCCGGTGCATGTAGCTCCCGCTTGCGCAGGGTCCGGGGAAGGGTCCGACCACTTTGGGTCTATAGTGCGCAGCCTTTCCCTACATTTCTGTAAGAGGCTGTTTCCAGGACTTGAACCCGTGACCTCATGGTCACAAGGCAGCAGCTTTACCACTGCGCCAAGGCTCCCCTTCATCTACAACCTAACATGCAGTAAAAGATTATTTACTTGTATCGTTGCTCTTAGCGAGCAACCGTCCAGACTAGATAAGATCATAAGGTTGCTATTTCATCTTTTGGGTTCAATGTTTGAGATAACATTGCACTGATTATTCAGTTACATACTATTGTTAGGGGTAACATCTCGAAGGACATAAAAGAAAATGTTAGCAAAAACAAGGATGCACACAGATGTTGCCTTGTGACCATGGGTTCGAGTCCTGAAAACACCCTGTTGCAGAAACATAGGGAAAGGCTGCGTACAAAATACCCAAAGTGGTCGGACCCTTCCCCGGACCCTGCACAAGCGGAGCCACGTGCACCAGGCTGCCCTCTTTTTTTAGCATCTGGTATATAGTGATAAGAACAAGTTTTCCCTGCATCCTGTTAACCAGATCAAATTTGTTGGGGGGGCGAACTGCCTAATTTATAGGAAAAGCAGAATTGTTTTTGTTCAGAAGAATGGATCGATTCTCCCTCCAAAGTTTATCGCCCAAATCTATGATCTCATCTTTCACCTAAAAATCCCTACTTCAACCCGTCCTCACTCCGTCCCTTCTTTTGTACTCACTCCGTCCTCAGTACAATTTTGTACTAAAGTTAGTACAGAGTTGAGACACTTATTTTGGAACGGAGTACAATACATATGAACAAGAAAAACTAAACATTAAAAATAGGACAAGATTAATGTAAAGAATGATAAGAAAATTTTGCACAACTCTTGGAACTTTCCATGTGCAATTGTGTTCTAATAACACACATCTAGTCATCCAATTGCATCATATTAGGCCATTAACATATCAGAAAAGCTGGGGATATTTTGGCTTTCTGTAAAGTATAAAAAGTTGGGGATATCTTGGCTTTCTTGTAGATACCATGCTAATATATGAATAAATTGCATCTTACCCCACAAAGAAGCGCAACGCTGGCTGTTCTTGATCCAAATTCAGAAGTGCACCTTCATTATCTTTCAAAACTGACCCCAATATATCTTTCAGAATATCACGCAATTGTGCAAACAACCATAGAACTCCAAGGTACTTGAGAATGCCTCGCAACACCTTCTTAAGAGCAGCATGAGGGACCCAGCCACCACCATAGCCACCATCATCTCCAAGCCCGATAAAAGCTGTGTTCAATTCTCCTTTCATATGCACAGGAAGGTTAGTGTCAGGAGAAAGGTGTGCAGGAGCTCCGTCTCCTGAAGGTAGTGTGGCATTGCCTGCTCTACTCACACTAGCTGCTATCTGACAACCAACACCTGAAGTTAGCTTAATTTCCCCAGGAGCACCACCACTCAAGCGATTCGTAGTAGTAACTGCATGTTGACTTCCAGATGAAGTATTGGCACTAGTATGTCTAGCATTCAGAAAGCTCGGCTCAAGAGTATTTAGACCCTGAGCAACAAGTTCCATTATGAATGGTCGAAATTGTGGACAAGGTAAAGATCCACCAATTGAAGGTCCGCCTTTTGGAGGGGTTGCTGGCTGCAGCCAGACCTGATCCCCAGCAAAGCAGCGCATGTCAACAGAGAACTTATTGCGATATATAATGCGTATCCAGTACGGCCCACGGAGCACAGCAGAAACATCAAAAGGCATCAAAGAACTAGGAACTAGTCCATGCCCTGTCCGGCCTACGGCAGAGAGCATAGAGGAAGTCTGAGCATCATGACTGTTTATATGCACAGTAGTTGATGATGAACCATTTGCCAAAAGAACATTGTTTTGCTTTTGTGCAGAACCGCAAACAGCAGGGACAGCAGGCATCTTTGCAGGACGAATTGCACCACCAAGGGAAAGTAAAGGACCTGCTGTCAGTCTGATGCAATCCAAAAATGATGCTACCTCATTGCAATTCACAAAATCCTCCAAAAACTGCATTATGGGAACGTGATTAAACAAAAGATTGACAATATCTCGTGCAAATTTCGTATAGAAGTATGCCAAGTCTTGTTCAGAGTTTAGAATGCCTAAGTAGAAAATTCAAAAGTCTGGCGCCACACATAGATTGGCAGAACTCTTTGCACTTTCTTGGTAAAAAAAAAGAATCATGCAAATAATGATATTCTGTGGTCACATTTTGGTCAAACTGAGCTTAAAATCGACCAGTGCTGCATTTCAATTTTGTTCATGAACCAAATGCTGGCCAACTACAGACAAGGAAACCAAATTTAAACCACCAGTATTTAACAACTTCAAGTTACAAATAAAACATGCCATGGTAACTGCTAGCACTCCAAACATAAAAAATATGCACTTTGATCAACAGTTTCCATGTAAGACTAACAAAAGTACTACCTCCGTCTCAAAATATAAGACATTTTTGCAGTTCAATTTGAACTGCAAAAACGTCTTATATTTTGAGACGCTGCAAAACGCCTTATATTTTGAGACAGAGGTAGTACAAAACAACATCATATCTGAACAAAAACAGTATCTAAACTTTTAAAGAAGTCGAATAGTTCAGTTGGATGCAAGTGACTATAAAGTGGGCAGCCCGGTGCACGTAGCCCCCACTTGCGCAGGGTCGGGGAAGGGTCAAGTGACTATAAAGTGGATTGAGAACAAATGTAGTTTAATCACTGAGATGGCTGCAGTTAAAAAAGGAAAGCATGCACAACTGCACACCGTACTGATACCTATTATACCAACCTCACTGAGATCTGTATCAATATCCAATCTAGTAAATGAGGTGATACATTTTCAAATATAAAACTTCAGTCAACATGTTACCCCAAATGAAGCATAATCACAAGTCAGCCAAACATGCAGTAATGTAATGCACAGTTGCATATATTGTGATGCAGTACGCTTGTATCTAAAAACCATACCTTTGTATGTGGCCAAAGATGATCTGGTGAAATACGCATTGTGCAACCAACCTTACCGGCCTCCCACTCGACAACAAAGTGAACCATGGGCATGGCATTGGCACCATAACTGAACCACAAGTTCATCAAACCAACAGCGTTAATTCGGAAATTTTTAGCCATCTGGTCCGATAACCTGTTCCTGAAACCTTTTCTTGCATGTAACTTTGCCTTTGTAGCTAACTGATTCTCAACTAATTTCTCATCTACTTTAACACGAACCAACCTCCGCATTCCACAAGCAAATACACGAGCATTTGAAAGTCGCCGTAATTCTGAGACAAGCCGCTGTATACTATCAGCCTCAACAGAGTTGTAAGTCAAAGTGATCCCATCATAGTCAAAAGAGATGTGTGAATCCATCTCAGAAGTGTTTGCAATGCGAACACGAGAACCCCATTCTGTAGTATTGCTGCCTCCATGAAGTTCCCACAGTGCACCATAATATGGATCGTTGATCCTAACACCCCATGACATGCTTCCAGCTTCACCGAGACGTAAGCATGTGTGTTTCCAAGAACCATCTTGAGCAAAAGGTAGCCGTAACCAAAGATTAGAGGAGGGTGTCCCCAGACCAACTTCTTCTACATATGGAATGTTAAGAGAATTCATCTGGGTAGTCAGTTGAGCATATTTGATACGAAGCGAACAATGCTTTATGACTTGAAGAAGCACAGAAGCATATATATTTTCTGTAATACAACAATTTCCTTCTCTCAGTATAGTTCCATAGGTGAGGGTTGTTCGAGATTGCACACTGCTTGCAACTTCTGGCAGTTTTCTTCTCTTTCTTGGCCCACCACTGATTATTGATCGCTGTAATGATGGGATGTTCAACAAGAACTCTGAAAGATATCTCTTTCCAGATGGAACTTCAGAGCGTAAAGTGGAGATATTCTCAAAACCTGACAATTTCCAAATAAAAGCATAACATTAAGAAGAAAACCTCTTTATTTTACATAAAAAGCTATTTGAATATCAGAGACTAAAAATTCTAATTTTGGTTAATGTGCACAGTACTATAGTTTGGATTATTTGAGAAATCAAGGCAAGGAGATTTATTTCCATCCACAATAACATGATTTCTCGAGATCTAAATGAGCTCAAGTCATGACCGAATTAACAAGCTGATAGCTTGGATGGATGATCACCTGCAGGGACCAAACCGGAGGTCTCTGTACTATATGCAGACTTCGAATTACTCAGCAGATAACTGTCCAAAGTGACACCAGAAGCGACTTTTGCTGTGTCAATGTTAGAGTGTAGTAAGTCATCATCCAGTTCAGGTGGGCCAGCTCTACTGCTAACCCCCTGACGGCCAACTTTTTGAGAACTCAAATGAGTTGAGGGCGAACTATAAGACAGCCAATTTTCCTTACTTGGAGAATCTTGCTCATATCCTAATACTGTGTTAACAACAGAAGAAAATGAAGGCTTTAGAAGAAGAGACTCATCAATTTCACTATGCCTGGGAGACCCATCTTCCATGCTTTGTAGCACCTGCAATTTCTCTACATCGAGAAGATTTGCAATGCATTCATCTTCACCTAGTTGCATCTGGCCAATGTCAATTCTGTTAAACCTTACAACTTCTTTAGCATCAGTGGTTGTATCAATATTAGACCTGTCTTCTCCGTCAGTATGCACCTCAAGCAAATAAAAAACCGGCATGAGGTTGTCATCAAGTTGCATCAGAAGATAATAGGCATTTGTACGCCAAGGAAATCCCATAACCATAAAATCTGAACCATACAGTATGGATTTTGGTATCTTCAGAGTAATCTGACACTCAGAGTAAACCTGGAACAACCACCAGACAAATAAATTTAGTATAATAAGTTTTAAGATAGTACTATATGAACGAAAACAATCAAATATAGAAACGACGTTTCACTATGAGTATACACATAAAAGGCTAATAGTTCTAAAATGTTTGGGGCCCTGACAGATATAAAGCTGAGGCTTTTCCCTGTGGTCCAGTTGGTGCTAGTAATTAAAACTCAAATGCATAGTACAAGGACATATATCACTAGAATAACGTGGGTAATACCAAGAAAACATCTTCTCTTCACATGCAACATGTTCCCTTACGCATGGAACTTTGAGCAAAATGGCTCATAAGCGTGAACTTTATAGCTTAATTTAAGTTGACACATTGCATTTAGACCAGGTATATATTAACCTCAGTTGCAGCTTGCACCAAGTTTTTGAATTCTAAAAACTTTGGACAAGTGAGTTCAAACAAATAGTACGGTTCAGTTCAGGCAAGAAATAACCGGACCAACCGAGTAGGTCAGGCCTTGTGTCAGGTGATAAATCCATACCACTTCACTCCACTCTTCCACCTCACTCCTGACTAATGATTTGGTTACGTGATTACATAATAAAGATACTTTGGTTACAGATGTTTCTGTGTGTGGATTGGCAACTCCTCGGCGTCGATACTTCATTGGCAAAAAGGTTCAACAAGAAAAATAGTATTGGTGAGGCGGCCACGGCCAGACTCCCCGGTGACAAGGCACAACCAGACTCAGCTTGGAGACAGATAAAATGGAATGGCAGTGATGTTTCCCTCCTGTCGATGGTGACAGAGAAGGGCTCAAGACGATGTTGTGAGCTCGGGTGTTGCAGAATCAAGACATAAGTGTGATGTCAGTGTAATTGGGCTCCAGATGTCAACATTAAGGATCCTGGACGTGCCAAACAGGGAAGCCAAGGGTACCAAAGATCAGCCATGTTCGTATGTGGTCTCAGCACACTGCCGACGTAGATGGTTCTTCAACAGAAAACAAAAACGAACTTCTGTTGAAAGAATGAGTGGTTAGGAGGAGGGTGCTAGGATGGTGTAGAACCCTTTAGTTCAAGAATGGCTCGCCGGAGACGAAGAATTACAACAGAGCTGTTAGGGAAGAAGACGGCAGCTCAGGTCCTCAGAGCTTTTGAGTGGCACCAAGAAACAGGGATGGCAGATATCTCTCCAGATGTAGTCCAAATCGTGGCCAATGGGGCAGCATCACCATAACCCATGTCAGATCCTAGAACAATTAGACATGTATTTGTGGAAGAAATTGGGAATTGACAGAGTATATGCTAGTATAGAGACCAAACAGAGGGCCGATTTATCTATTATAGCTAGATGTATCAGAGTTTAGTCATTCAGGCAAACTGGGAATTCAACGATAGCCACACCCCGGAGGCTTATATAGGCTTCAGTTTACACCTGCCACTGCGGTAAAAGTGAAAGAGGTAAACAGTCCTTGCAGTCGATGAGTGTGTGGGCCCTGGACTCGTTCTTTCACTCTGCACAGGGTCGAGTGACAAATCCTTGCAAGGAGCGAGATGGAACATTGGATCAAGCCGAAGAGTTTTCAGATAAGTTAGAAATGTAACAGTTAACTCAAGAAGCGTTGTAGTAGGGTGCTAACAACCCAATACCACCATCCAAGCCCTTGTAGATCTGGGGAGAGTGGCTGACACCCTAGCTTCTTCAGTTTTTCTGAGATGGTGAAAAGCAGAAGCAAAGGAAGTCGTCGATGACCGAGTGGGGGGGTGTGGGCCCTGGACTCGTTCTTTCACTCTGCACACAGTCACAAAGCCATTGTGCCTCACTCTTCAGTGGCCACAAGCAGAGGGATTGCTTAAGTCGATCTGGTGTTGCTAGACCATGCAGTGCAGAGGGTGAGGACGAGGAGAGGAGGGGAAGGGGCTAGCGCAAGGGGTGTTGGCGTGGCAACTGACTGTGGGCCTAAGTCAGTGAACCAGACCAATTTTATTATACCTGGTCCAAGTTGTGACATTGGCCCACCTGAACTTACGTGGCAGATTCTCTAAAACTTGGTGCCAGCTGTAACTGGTGTCAAATTACTTTGCAGTTACTCCTTTGATCTACATTATGACAGTTCACATTATTCAGATTGGCTTCATACCAAGCACAGGTTACTGTTTTTTTTACATGAAAATGGTTAATGCAAGACCAAGTATGATCAATTAATTGCATGAGAATTCTTTTATTGGCTATTGTAGTTACCAAGCAAATAATTGTTCAACCAAGTAAGGTTTTGGTTTTAGGTTCATCATGAACAAGACGACGTATTGCTGTTTCATGTCGTAGTATATCTAACCTCCTAGATTTTTTCAGTATTCAATGAGATCTTTGCAAGAAATAAATTCAAGAGCTGATTGCAACACAACAGAAGATAAAGATAGCAAGTTGAGCAAATTGATAACCTTCAGGCCCAAAAACCTTCCTGTCGCAGCAAACAAGTGAAGGATGCTTCTGGTCTTTAAGCTCACGAAGACCTCAGTGGGTGTTATGCTCTGTTTATTAAGGGCTTCTTCAGAGTCTAATACTGCAGAAGGTGGTAATATATTTTTTGGTGATTGCAGGAGGAAGCCACCACTCCTATTGTAGAAAAAAATAAGGTATAAATTTAGGAAGTAAAGGGGACTGAGCTGGAAAAAATAAGGCTTAGAAGTTAGAATAGAAATAACTCACAATAATACACTCTTGATTTTTATTGGAATCTATATTGTGGAACATGCAGGAAGATAGGCCTTTTACCATGAATTAAAAGGATCACTCCCTCCATCCAAAAATATTAGGCCCGCACGCTTTCCAATATTTGTTTAGCAATGTGTGGATTACATGAGAAAAAAATTGATACCATCGGGCTCTTATTAGGAAACTTTTTGATGGTGTCAAGTTTGTACATATGAACTTATGAAGTAATGCAGAGTTGAACTAATCGTCGGTCAAAGTTAAATATTGAAAAACACTTGCATCATTGCCAGTCTACTTGACATATACGACCATAGTTGTCATGGTATATCACCTAGGAATTCATTTGCCTGCCAACCAACACCTAGGTAAAGCACTCGTCACCACCGAACTTACCAGTTGTGCCATCCCACGACGCTCAATGTACGTGAGGTGTGTGTGTGCCGTGATCATCATGCTCATGCCATCCCATGAGCTAGTCAAGACACACACCTAAATAGCTAACTAACAAACCCGAACGAGATCAGCCAGGGCGTGGACATGCACACGCTGCATGGCTGTTTATTTAGCTAACAGTATAGCTAAACGAGCTAGCTACTAACGGGCAGCAGGATTACAAACTCAACAGACATGCAACTGCAGTTGCGCGCGGCCGGTGGACATGCAGTTGCACACGGCTGGCGGGCGTGTAACTGCCGTTGTGCGCGGCCGATGGAAATACACTAGTGCGCGACTGATGGACAAACAGTAGAGCGTAGCCGATGGACGTGCAACTGCAGTTGCACGCCGGTGCACGGGCATGTAACTGTACTTGCTTGCAGCCGGTGGACATGCAACTGTAGTTGGTGCCGGTGCACGAGCATGCAACTGAAGTTGCACGCGGCCGGCTAAATACTGAGAAAGCAAAGACAGGATTCTCACATAAAAGACTACAGGAAGTCACTATAATACCTATACTGCCAGAGAGTTTATGACTTTGTTAGTTGTTTTATAAGTACCATGGAATAAATATTGTTTAAAAGAATAAACTTGTTGAAGTGTGTATGTGGATTGCCTGGCCCTTTCCATAAGTTCGGACTTTTGGTTGCGTTGGCTAGTGCATGAAGCTTAACATGGTATCAGGGTCTAAGGTCTTGAGTTCAAGTCCTGGCTTTCACAATTTATCCAAAAATTGTTGTTCCCCCCTTTGTGTCCACATATAGGCCTCTGAGCCATACCTCTGAGTCTATTCACATGTTGACTTCCCGCGTCACACGTGAGATGGGGTGTCGAAGTGTATATGTGGATTGCCTAGCCCTTTCCATTAGTTCGGACTTTTGGTTGCGTTGGCTAGTGCGTGAAGCTTAACAAAACTGACACTAAATACCTTGTGGATATTAAGGACAAGAAAGTAAGGATGAAGCATCAACCATGCAAAAGGTAAATAACAACGGACCTGATATTTATTCCCAGGTGAATATACGATTTTCCATATGCCCTAACCTGAAGCACTTCATTTGTACAACAATTCTCGAAGCCCCTTCTATCCACTCTCTGTGCAATTTATGAACAGAGACAAAGCACTAAAACTCAGAACTAGCAGGGAAGCAGGCAAACAAAAAATGCCCACAAGCGAAAGAACTTCAAAAGTGATTATGCACAAGTCTTAGCTTGAGCAAATATAAGAAAATAAAGAGTTCAGTGAAGTTGCATTTTCAGTAATGGACTGGTATGAAGAAAATTTATGAATCCTGCTTTGGCAAGTGCAAATCAGTAAGGTATCCCAAACATAAGGAAATCCACTAGAATGTTCCTAAACATAGTGGTTTATATCAGTACCTTTTGCAGGACGTCCATATGATCTTCTTTCCGTTTCAGGACGACATCAGTTGGAGATCGAGAAATCCGAGTATTTTTTTTCAACTCCCTCTGAATTTCCAGAAGACGTGTGTGTCTATTGCAAGCAATTGCTTTCAAAATGATTGCCTCAACATCAATGCAACTCAGATCAAGAGAAAGATCAGCTTCTTTATCTGTAAGTGGATCCAATACAAATGAACTGTGCTGACACTTTATCTGCATATCTTGCAGTGCCTCAACTTTAATAAATGGAGATGAATCAGATTCTGCTGACCCACTGTTTCTTTCATCCAGCCAATAATTTACTTTCAAACCAGGTATCCTGAACCCACTTGAATCGAGCTCTCCATCTTGACCAAGCTGCGTTGGAGCATTATTCCCACCTTGTCCTGCACTTCTATGACTATCCGAGACAAGTTCAGATTTTATTGCCTCTTTCCATCTACCTTGTCGTAGAACATTAGTCTGTCTAATTACGGTATCCATAACAAAAGAGATGCATAGCTCATGGAGAATTGTATACAAAATTGTGAGGGGATTGTCAGCCACAGCCATTCTCCGTTCGATGTCATCACCCAGAACATACCTTCTTGTCTCTTCAAGCTTAATAGGCCCGGTCTTCTCACCAACAAGTAACTCAATATGCAAAATCCTCCACAGCGAGAAGTGCCCACGGTAACCTAACGTAAGGAGTACTTTGAATTCGCCATCTACCTGTACATTGGCTATTCCATCAGTCACCGAAACCTCAGACATTTCTTTAGGAACTAGGGTTTCAAGTAATTTTGCCCGCACAAGGGTGCTTAATTTCTTCAATGTAGGCCTCCGCTCATCTTGAAAAAGTGTATTCTGAGTACCTATTTCCTCTACAGATTTAGGCAATCTCCTATAGCTCCCTGTATGTATGACTTCTATCGCAGATGAAACATCAAAAATGGGAGCACGAGCTTGCTGCAATCCTTCATGCATAAAGAACAGTGAATCGCCTGTTTGGGTGAAGCAAGTTTCATGGCTGGAGAGAGTTGACGCAAGTTGCTGGCAGTAATGAAGCAAGGGCACCTGCAGAAGCAAAAGCAATATTTTCTGTCACAAAATTCCAGATACATATTTTGATGGCCCGAATATGATAATGAAGGGGGAAAACTTAGTTTTGAAATACATTCTTTGCTGAGTAGCTAAGGAATTAAGGTAGATTGTAGGCTGTCAGAGCAAATACATTACACAATGATAAAATACTTTAAAGTTGGCATTTTGGGTTCAGTACGCACTTCTTCAGCATGAATTTTGCATACATAGAATCTCTAAATGAAGTTTGGTCCTTTGCTCCATCAAAAACGGTTTTAAAGATGACAACAGTTTCGCACACGTGGATGCCCAATCAGCACAAAAAAGCGGCAAAAAAAATTCAAAAAAATGGGAGAAAATTAGGAGAAAAAAACTGTAGTCTCCTTTCTAGAAAACTCGACTTGTTTAAGGAGAAGTTGGGGGGCAGCAGAACAAAATATTCGGAAAATCCAGAAACAGATATGAAAATTTTGCTTTTTTAACTGAAATTTTATTTTGAAGGTATGTTTGGTTGATTCCACAACATGCCCTACCAAATTTTTGCCAACCATTGGCTAGATATTCTTTGACCCTTAGTTTGCCTATTTGGCAATAATTGTGAAGGCAATGTCAGGAAGGTGGGCAAGTTCTCATAGGCAACCAACCAAGTAAGAGGCGAGATGTCATAGGCTGTCAAGATTTTGGTAGGGAAATTTGGGCACCAGAAAATACCCTAGAAACAGTCTTTACGATGAAGATATAGAAGACACTGAGAAAAAAGGAAGAAAATTAAAAAGAATAAAGAGGATTGGAAGTCGCTGGTGAGGCTATGGAGGGTGGCAACCACACCTTCGTGGTCTTCGCATTGCTTGGCGATGATGTCTTCAAGGGTGTTGGGTGGTGGTGGCGGCGGCGATGGCGCCGGAGGCTGACTCATAGTTGTAGTCGAGATCATCGGGATCGTAGATGAATCTGATACCAAATTGTCACATGCTTGGGAATCAGCAGGCTGGGACGTGGAGCATAGGGGTAGTAGTGAGATACTAGTGGCCAAGGACGATAGTCCCGCCGACCCATGGCGGTAGCAAGGGTGAGAGGGACGCACAGTGACGGAACTTAAACCGGCAGATCTCGAGGTAGGGGATCCTAAGCTAGATGTCTTCGAACGAGGGTAACAGAGACACGGGGATTTTACCCATCATGTTCGGCCTCTCCGAGGAGATAATACCCTATGTCCTGCTCGTGTTTATTGCGTTGGAGTGTGTACAAGGTACAGGTAAACTACCACGAGATTGTAACTTGTCTTAACTTGTGTTCTATTGACTAACCCGGCCCCGGCTTATATAAGATACTTGGGTCCTAGGATTACAAGAGCCCTAGTCGGCTACGTCGGTGGAGAGGAGAGTCCTCCACGGATACGAAGTCCTTGTCTTGAACATCAAGGCTTCCAGAGTCTTCATGTATCTCGCCAAGGGATACTCAGCCTGGCCCACCAGACCGGGAGTCGACATAGTGAGTCCCCTTATCCGAGACACCATCAAACGACACAGGAGCAAGAGGTGAGAAAATAGATTAACTTTTCTGCTTGCTTTCTTGCTCATGTGAGGGCTTGGACTTGGACTCCAACTAGAATTGGATCCAGCCAGCAAGGTGGCCTTCTTTGGGACTAAACCTTCCCAACTTAGGAACCGGACTCCTACTCTAACTCTAGATGGACTCAGCAAGCACTAGACTACACGAACTAGGGCAGTCCTGGCCCAGCATGGCCCTTGAGCCTGTATGTTCGGCCCACATGACATCCCACTTTTCATGATTGTTTTCAATTTTCTGTTCTAAATGGGTTACTACGGAGCAAGGGAGGGATCACACTTGAGGGACCAAGATTGTTCTCTAGTAGAGTAGAGGGACCAAGCGTAGACTTCGGCAATAGAAGGGCTAAAAATATACTCTTTCCAATACTTTGCGACCTTCAAACTGAACTGATAGCCTGACCAAATTGAAGTCAAAGCATCCGGAGCCCTAAATTATGTTAGGGTGATTAATGACAACCAAACATAACTGGCTAATATTTCCATCAAACAAATCTAAGGAGAATTGTTTTGTGTTGAAAATGTCTCAGTGAAATGGAAGGATTCAACATGAATTTAGCTCAAGGCTGTGGAAACTTTCAAGCATTTTGTAGCTTTAGGTGTCGGTTCATAGACTGGTTTGCCAGATTTGTTGAAAGTGTTACCGTTCAAAAAAGACAAGTCTACTTGCTTGAGAATTGTCATATGTAATACTGCTCAATAGCAGAATACATATACTCATATGCTTGACATAAATTCCAGTTTTGTTGATGCGAACTGACAGTGTAAACCATGGCCTGACCAGCAAGGCGGATTGACCACAAGTCATACACCTGCTATTCTATAGCATCTAAGGTGCTTCAAAACGGATTCTCCTGTGGATTCTGATTAGGATTGTGAGTCCTAACTGAACGTTCAATGCCGACTAACAGTCTCCACAATTTTAGCAAAATTATACTTACCACAGTGGGTGTTCTCAGCATTCGCTGATTCTTCAGTGCTTGAAAGTTATACTCCCTCCGTTCCAAAATAATTGAAATTCTAGATTTATCCTAAGTCAAACTTCATTAAGTTTGACCAATCTATATAAATTAACATCTACAACACCAATTTTTCTTCATTAGATTCATTATGAAATGTATTTTCATATTATATATATTTGAGATATTGTAGATCTTAGCATATTTTTCTATAGACTTGATCAAACTTAAAAATGGTTGACTTAGGACAATCCTAGAACTTCTATTATTTTGGAACGGAAGAGCAATATCATAAAGGAAAAGATCTCCTTCGAATATATGTGGGTTTTGCAGCACGGTCTGGTCAGAGCTATAGTAGTGGAATGTAGACTAAATAGATTTTGATGTACACTCCCTTCGACGCAATCGTAGCCATCCCCAAGATTATACTATTATGGATTTTATACAAGGATACCTAAAGTTCTTATAGTCCCAACAAAGAGTTGAACAATGATTTCCTATTACAGTAAACACTTCTGTCCTTGATTGCAACATAATCCAAATCTGCTTTCCCGTCACTCTATTCAACTAAGGCAGCCTTCAGAGCAATCAAAGGCCTGATCCTATAAAAACATTTTTACTTGAGGACACAAGTTGCAGTTCTAATTGAACAATGAAAGTTGAAACTCCTTATTCAAGGAAGGAAACAATTGACAGCTGCGGACCTGCTGGCACCACTTGGCGAGGACATGGAGCCGGAGCATGCGCTGGCGGGTGCGGTCGATGAATTTGAGCAGGTCGATCTTCTTCTCAGTATCCGACCTCTGCTGCGCTGCCTCCCCCTCGGCGCCCGCCCGCGACTTCTCCACGAGCTCCCGCAGCGCCAGGTAGGACTCCTCCGCCGCCTGCCGCGCCACAGTCCCCAGCTCCACTGTCTGCTGACCCAACTCCCCCGCCATCTACCACCACCCGAGAGTGAGTGAAGAGTCTAGGGTTTCACGCACGTCTCGGGGTAGGGACCTACAGGTGACTGAGCCGCGCCATAGCCACCGCAGCTGCTCTCCCTGTAGGGTTTCCAGGAGATTGTAGAAGGTCCGCGTACACGGAGCGGCTGGGCGGCTGGGCGGCCGCTGCCTCGGCTATAGAGTTACGCCCCCGCAGTGCCACCAGCGGCTTCAAATTGGGGATCCTGTGAGAGGTCGGGAGCCGCAGCCGGTAGAGTTCAGCTTGGACCGAGAGGGGAAGTTCGAAAAGTTTGTGGGAATGGAGCTGGGATCGCGAGGCGGCGGCCGGCAGGAGGTTCTTTTTCTCGAGGGAACGGCAGGAAGAAGATGGGCGAGCTGGTGCGTCAGAGCATCTCCGGCCGTTCGGCGCGCCCAGGACTGAAATAGCGGGTGTGTTTGGTCCAGTGGATAGGTTTAGGTTGCTGTGGGTAGAGAAAAATTCGCTACGGGTCCTATTACTTACGCTAGCGCGAGCTTTAGTCCCTGTGGTTACAAACGGAAGAAAATCTGATACAACCGGGTCATACGCATGCAAACGTGAGACCACCCCGAGCGCTTGACCTCCGGCAATACAAATCTCAAAGCACGCAGCATCACCTTATCCAAACTGGAGCCCAGATCGACGCCCAACCTCTCCAATGCCGCCAACTCCTGTCGCCGGTGTGCTCTGCTTCGGCTGCTCACCACATCGCCGCCGATGAGATCCATTCCGGCTGCTCGCCACATCGCCGCCGGTGTGCTCCTTGACGCTCGGCGTACTCCATTCCCCGCGTTCGTTGGCGACCCAGGCCGCGGCACCGTAGAAGCTGCTCGCCGGCGTGCTCCGCGATGCCAGCCGCCGTTCTCCTCAACCACCCTCGCGGCGCGACCGACGTACTGAGCAGAACAAGTTCATGTTGATTTTTTGTGTGTGTGATTTGAGCTATAAAATCTGAACAATGGCTGCTCTTGTTTATTTTTCTTCTGAATTTTATTCCAATACAAGATGTGGCATATGATGTAAACAAGATCTGCAATGTATATGTTGGTGTCCATTCTTGGCATAAGTGCGGTGTGACGTTTTCATATTCTGCTGTCAACTCTTCGATAAATGTAAAGATGCATTTGCATTTGCCCTGATAATCTGATACGGTGTCAACTGTTTGGCATGAACCAACATTCATGGTTTGCTACAGAGGAAAATGATAGCTTCAGTTTTGTATTGCAGCAAGTAAATAGCACCATTTGCCAGGTGAAATACACACATAGCAGCAGAGAAAATGATAGCTTCAGGTGAAACACTAGCACATAGCAGTAGAAGAAAATGGTAGCTTCAGTTTAACAGAATATATGTTTGGTAACAGATGTTCAGCATTGTCAGGTGACACACACATAGCAGCAAAATAAAAGGATAGCTCCAGTTTATGCTAAACCAAATACACAACCATATAGCTGACATGCCCAGCTAACTAGCATTGAGGAACCGACAAGACATTATGCATCAATGCACGATCGGGCTCGCCACGGCTGAAAACCTTGATGTACTAGCACCATCGTTGAAATCTAGTTGACGAGCGGCTGAATATTTGTTTCAGGCTGCTTAGCAGACATAGCTTGTAGAAAGGTTCTAAAAACCCACTCAAAGGTATCTACAGATTTATTAGATAGTAGTGATGCACTAAAAAGAATAGTCTGCTTGTGATGATTAACAGCAATAAACGGAGCAAATGGCATTTGAAACTTATTTGTCGAAATAGCTCGTTCTTTCTTGGCCACATGTGTTGGATTAGCACTCTTCACACCCGCCTTGCTACAAACAAAATATCTGGAACTTAAAGACTTAGCTGCCCTAAACTTCAAGTGGCACTTTCTAATGTTGAATCCCTTGGTTTGAGCATAAGAATTGTAAAATTGGTACGCCTCTTCCTTAGACTGAAAACATATCCCAACACTTGGAGCCTTATCTGCATCTTGTAAGTCATGATCATTCATTAGTGTGCTGCTCGCCCTCGGCTGGCCATTAGTCTCAATCACTGGCAATTGCTGCAAGGGTAAACAATAGAATTAATCAAGACAGGCTTCAGGAAAGGAAGGAATGTGCTTGTTGTCACATGTTTTTTCAGTCTGAACCGAACTGAATTAATCAAGATTGGTGAACTGGACTTAACCTCACTGGAGGAGCCGCGGGTGCACATGGTTTTGGAGGAGACGATGCCATGTATGTTCCTTGGCCGTGTGCTGCGATGCCGTCGTCTGGGGCCGTAGCCATCTTGCCGCCTCGTTGCTAACAGGATGAAAACAGATCTGACGTATATTCGTTTCTTTTGGAAGATGAATCATCAGCAGCTGAGAGGACGGCGTAAAGGAAACGAACCAGCTAATTGAGCGTGCGTTGGCTTTTTAATTGAGCATGTGTTGGGCTTTTTTTTATCTGCAACTCACGTTGGGCTGGATGTTGGGATCGCCAGATGTCAAGCACTCGGGGTGGTCTCACGTTCGTGTGCGTACGACCCGGTCGTACAAGATTTTCTTCCGTTACAAATACCCGAAATACAGAGCATCTCATTGGTTGGGTACCAAGTTGTCTTGCCTATCTCACATAAAGTTGCCAACATTTGGCAAGTTTTGGTATTGCCAATATTTGGCAATGCCAACATTTGGCTAGCCAAATATTGGTAGTAGACCAATCATGCTCACAGTCACCAAACTTGCTCTAGGGGTCATGTACGGTCCATTATACGGTTTTGTGTATGTATGTGCTGAGCTGTCTCTAGGCAACCGGTGGCAAGCATGCATTGACTGCCACATGTGCCCAGCTCGCTCTAATACGCATGCACGCAGGGGTCTTTTTGTGAAACTGCCGGTTATTAATAATGCTCTAGTCAACCGCTCCCTCTCGCCGCCGATCCCCTTCCTCCACCACCACCACCAGCGGCACCGGCACGGCATCCTCCGCCTCCTCCGCGGCCATGGCTTCCTCGGGACCCCGCACCACAATAACAACGACCACCGCCTCCTCCTCAACCTCCCCGATGTCCTGGGTGTGCGCGGCGATGGCCATGTCACAGCCGCCGGAGGAGAGCAGCACGGCGAACTGCCCCTGTCGGCGGCCTCGAGCAGGAAAGTGGAGTTGGGGCTGCCGCTGCTGAAGAGGAGGCACAAGAAGCCGCCGCTGCTGAAGAGGAGGCACAAGAAGCCGTCGTGGTCGACGTCGGCGCCCACCTGTGGTGTGCGGCGGACGAGGAGGGCGAGTGGCCGGACATGGCGTGGGTGGCCTCGGCCTGTAGGAGCTCTCTGTCGCCGCGACGACAGCGTGAACTGCATCATCAGCACGTCGGCAACCTCCATGACCCATCCGCACGCCGACCCATGACCCACGCCACAGTCCCCAGCTCCACTGTCTGCTGACTCATGCACCACCGTCTCGACCGTGTCGCTGGACTCCTTCTGCACCATGTCCAGGCGCGTGCCCAGCACCACCATGACCTCCACCCGGTTGACGACTACCCGTGCCCGCCGACGCGTGTGGCCGCTGCTTAGCATAGTCTTGGCGAGGCGCAGCCGGCTGCTCCCAGGGGAAGGGCCCGATCGAGGGCCACAAGGTCGCCGTCGCCGCTCGCCGTCCACTTGGTCGTCGGCCACTCCTCGCCATGTTCGCTTGTCCTCAAACTCCACCTCGCTCTCGTGAGCCTCCGCACCGAAGGAATGAAGCCAAGCCGTGCTGCCCCCGAATCACTGGCGTATGAAGTATGTGCACGCCCACGCGGACGTCGCGCACGCCCACGTCTCGCCGTCCGCGGTCCTGCTCGTCCCCTTCCTCCGCCGTGCCACGCACGCCATGTCTGGCTACTCGCACTTCTCCTCCGCCGCGCACCGCAGCCCCACCTCCACCAGCCCGCCGGTAGCCGTGACCCCGCAGCGCGCCGCCAACCTGCAGGCGGTGTTCAACAAGATCCTGAACATGGCGGTGGTGGGCGCGCTGGCCAAGGACCAGATGGTGCGGCGTGTGTTCGTGCCGAGCGACATGGAGTTCGACGGACGGCGAGGCGTAGGTGTCGGAGTTGCAGCCGCGAGATGCAGGCGTGCAGCCTCCGTGGGGTGCTAAGGCGAGCAGGGAGACCGGTGATGGTGTGCCCCAGGTGCACCGCAGAGGATCCCCATTGAGACGACGCGAATTGAGGCGGTGACCGGCGGCTAGCTGCTGGCTGTTGCTGCTCCCATGGCTAGCTTACTACTCCTGTCTGCGCCACGAGAGAGGTGCGACCGCGGGATGCAGGCACAGCCTCTGTGGGGTGCTGGGGCGAGCTGCAAAAAACTGGGCAGTTTTAAATAACTGGCAGTTTTGCAAAAAGACCCCTGCGTGCATGCATATTCGAGCGAGCTGGGCACATGTGGCAGTCAATGCATGCTTGGCGTCGGTTGACTAGAGCCAGCTTAGCGCATACGTACACAAAACCGTATAATGGACCGTACATGACCCTCTAGAGCAAGTTTGGTGATTGTATTTCGGGTATTTGTAACCATAGGGACTAAAGCTGGCGCCAGCGCAAGTAATAGGACCTGTAGTGAATTTTTCTCTTGTGGGTATCCCCAACCCACTGGCCAGGGATAGCCAATTGTTTTGTTTGGTTGAGAGGATGAGACTTGGTTATACATAGCCAACTTTATGTTTGGTTGAAAGGATAAAGGATAGATGTTGAAATGACCTCCTAGCTATGAGGTGGTGAAATTACCCTCTGTGAATGCACTTTCTACTGTTGTGAACTACTCTAATATTTTACCGCGGATTATACTGGAGCTTCTAACAACAACTTTGAGACAAAAAAGTTGTTGTCAAAATTAGTCCAATTACACAAATTAGATGCGGCAGTAGGCCACGCATGCCCACTCAACTAATTTGGAACTCGCAATCCATTGATTCTTAGTACATGATTAATACAGAAAGGAGATATGCAATTTTAGAAAGAGAGGGTTAA